AAACGATACAATAAAAATTTCAGTATATTGGAAATTATGGACAAGTCTTTTAACCAATTTTGCTGTGATTCGTTTTTGGGATTTTAATAAGCTGAGAATCTCCCTATCAAAAATGGTTAATATTGATATTTTGGGTTTACCAAAATTTATACACCAAAAATTATTAACATTGGTCCTCCTTTCAGTGCGGCCCCTACATTACATTTTTTAATACGTTAATAAAGTGAAATTTGAAAATAAGTGTATGCATAGTAAAAAAAATATGATGATGTGATATTTTTAATCCTGGTCGTTCAAATTCTATAACGTTTAAGAATTAAATCACTCAATTTTTATTTATTCATCACATTTATTTGCAATGGTTCTTATCATGAATTTTATAGAAAATAGTATGAAAACGGAAAAGCTCTCAATTTGTGCATGAATTTCCGTTATAAATCCTTAAAAGTCGTAGAACTATTCAATAGCTAACGATTGTGTAGGATAACGCGAGAAAAAAATATTTTTTGGTTCTCAGTGAAAAAAGAAAAAAGAGCGGGTTATCATATAAATATCCGTTATAGTCACGCCTTCAGACAAGCATGCGTATACTACAATTTTGTTTATTAGCATATACCCACATAGCCTTCCATCGCCTGTTGTTCAAGCACCCACCTCTGGGATATATGGGGTATACGTTTTAGTATAGCCCATATATAACGGTACGCCAATTATTCTGTATTTAGGAGATTATTGGCATGTTTTTCAACCGATTTGGTTTTGATTTGTTACCTTTTTATTGAGTAGAAAATCTCCTTGTCATTTCGATCCACTTTGGGCTATAGTCCCCCTATAACGTTACCCCCAATTTTCAGTAGTTAGGGAGGTTTAACTAAGTTTTTCTGTGGGATTAGCTGTAATTTGTTATTTTGTGTTCCTATGAGGAATCAAATATCCCTACCACTTTTGGGTATATCCCCCATACAACGGTACACCCAAGTTTTCAATATGTCGAGTGCGTTTTTTAACCGAATTCGCTGTTATTTGGTATTTTGGATTCCGATTTTGTAAGAAATCTCTCTAACAAAATATATTAATATTCGCCCCATTTTTTTAATAACATACGTAATTAATTTGTTCCAGGCGTTTCTTCATATAACTATATTCCACCATAGCATGGGGGTGTTCTGTACCGTAAAGTACCAGTTCATATCCTTCTGGAATCTTAATATACTCTTCAAAAACTTTCATCCTTATAAGGGGTTGACACCTCATAACAAACCCTATGCAATCCAATGCCGAAGATGCTTCTCAAAATTAAATCTTTGAGTATCCGGTAAAATGGGGTTTTGACGGGGACGGGGCCGACCATACGATACCCTACACAACTACCACGGAACACTAACTTTCTGCTGATGTTTATTCCGAGCCTGGTCAATATTTCTGATATTTGCTCCTTCTTGCCCGATTAGAGGTCAACAGCACCTTACACTGACATATTTTCCGAATATTACTAATATTCAGTACTTGTCCAGATTCCCTCCACCGTGTGTTGTATTGTGATGTTCGGCTTAATTGTGGCCTACCCACCGACTCCAAAAAACAAAAAAAATTAAGTTTTCGGACCAATTCATTCCAAGACTATTATCTGATCATCGCCGAAAATTATAGGAATGGTCCTTACCATAACAGGGATCTCATGGAAAATTTCAAAGCAGCGATGCATGTCCGCCCTCTAGAGTGGTAATGGGTTACCAATTATTATCCGAATACGTAAGCACCTGTAAATATTTAAGTGTAACAGCAACATCCACGTACGTGCGAGAATATAATTGGGATCAATTTAAAGGTCAACCACTCCTCTTGGGCTTATGTCCTTCAGGAGTAAATATATACGCCATAGAATACAAATTTTGTAATGTTTCATACAAAAGTCTGCGTCTATTTGACCCGCAAAATAATGACCGATCTTTGTCAAAACAGGCATATTTACTTATTCTTTGACCCAATCCCCTTCTTCATGTAAAATTTTGCGATGTTGGGGGCATAATTGCGGCCTCTGGTCCATTTTATCCCCTAAATATTAACTGATCTTTACCAAAAAAAGTAGGGATCTTCATTGGCCAGAACCCATCAAACATGAAAAATTTCGTGAATAACTGTGGCCTGGATCGTGTTTACAAATTATAATGGGCAGACGGACGGACACACATGTCTAGATCGACTCAGCTAGTCGAGATATGACGATCGGTATACTTAAAGGTATGTCTAGGAGCAATATTTCGCTGCGTTAAAAACTCTTGGGGCTGCTATAATACCCTAACAACATAGCTGTGTAGGGTATAAATATCCTTAAAAATGATTAACTGTAACTATTGACTATAACACTAATTTATTTCGGTTTTGTGGTCATTATATGAACAAAATTGTCAACATTATTTTTCTTTACTTTTGCGTAATTTTTTCCCATTTTCCAATATAACTACACCTGTAATAATGAAATTAGAATCATTCTAACTTTAATCATTTAACTTATAGGTTTTTACACACATCCTGCTGGGATAATGCAAAGTCAATAATCATTTAGAGCAGCTCGTGCTTTTATAATTCTTCCCTAACCATGATACAAATTGCAATTTTACCATGTCGTAAATTTTTTGGATGTCCCGCAAAGATAATACCTATCGATGTCCATTGATTGGTAGGGATACGCTTTACCGTTGGGCAATAAAAATCTATTAAAATGTCATTAACAAATCCCAAACTAAACAGAATTAATTGATGAAACCTCAAATGAAATCAATGCAGCTCAAGCGACAAATCGAATATTTTAAATATTCACAAAGGGAATTCACGGTCAGAGTCAGTGGCCATAGTCAATGTGCTGCGGCAGCATCAGACTAAAAGACAACAGAAATGACAACCAAAATCAATATGAATTGAAACGTGTTTGATCGGCGATGAAAAAGGGGTTGTTGATGATGTTGTACATGAATTTCGCTCTGTAGGTGGGGGAGGTGCATATTAAGTGAATGATTTTCAGTTAATTAAATTACTGGTTGTCGAATGATGGACACTTTTCGTTATAACAATTTTCAGGATATACATAATGTGTAATGAATTCTCAGTGCGGTAAAAATGAATGAATTTTTAACTAACTGGACTATACATACAATTATCAAGTAAACCAGTAAGCAATGGACAAAATGTCGGACGAAGATTTAAAAGAGAAGAAAAATAATTTACAACAAATTTTGTATTTGTTTTGTTGTTGTTTTTTGTAATTAAAGATAAGTCCTTATTTTTGATGGCGGGCATGATAACTCCTCACTGGAACATCGGAATCCGAAAATTCCAACGGTGTTAGAAAGAGTACATGTCTGACTCTCGTATGAACTAGGATTATTGACTTAGCTCTAAAATTAACAAAATGGCGGACCTTTGAAAAAATATTTTTTCGAAAATCGCGAATTTTTGACCAAAAACCAAGTTAAAAAATAAGGAAGATATTCACCGATTGGCTTTATCCTATTTCATACGATAGCTATACACTCACAGAGATACGTGTAAAAATTTGGAATCGATTGGGTTATTAGTTTTTGAGTTATCGTGCCCGCCATTCGCAAAAAAATGTTTAGAGAAAAACGCGTTTAAAGTTTGAGAAGCCCTTTAGCCTTCATTTGATGTTGACACAATAAATCGTCTATATCTTCAAGAGTTCTTGAGATTTTCATATAAAATTTTGTAGGGACATTCTTGAATTAGTGTAGATTCGAATTAAATCAAAAAAATTTTTTGACCCCGAGAATTGGGGGGTCCCCTTAATTGAAAACCTAAATATCTTCTGTATACGCCGTTGCGTCTTTTTTGGCACATCCGTATTCCCCAAACTATATGGGTCTCTTCAGAACTTTAGTTTAGATATACATTTTATGTCACGTTGGTCACTTATTTATTTTTGTCATATTTGTAGAATTGTATGGTCGAAGGAAGTTTGTTGACGTTTTTAAGCTAGCATCAACAATATTTTAAATGTATGGTATGATTCCAGCAAAATAACCTTTCAATAGGACATTCAGAATAAATTTTCTCATGACGTTCGACCTCTCTGAAACAGTTGCTACAACGTGGGTTTCAAAGCAGCAGTTTTTCTTCAATCATTTTCCTAATTTCGAAAATTATAAATCGGTTTTAAAATGAACATCTTCCACTTATACACACATTAAAATCTCCATGTAGTTGTTGAATTATCGATAACAAATAATACGAAGGATGGATCAACGGATCCATTCTGTGTATGCCTTAAGCATTGACGTTTTTAATTCCGTTTTAATATTTATTTAGAAATACAATTTCCCGTTTTCCCGGGAAATCGCGGGAATATCGAATTCTCGTCCCGTGAATACCCGGGCACAGACCCTAGTCACGACGTCGGGGCGTGTAGGAAATTTGCGGCTCAATCCTCTAACGAGCGATATAGTTGGGTGAAGTCAGCCAAGTTGTGCCTGAAGCACGGAAGAAAAGAGGTGTCTAGGCGATGACAAATGTCAGAAAAGTGGATTGAGTTATAACTCGCTGATCCATTTGGATAAAGTAAGCAACTCTAAGGCAATGACAACCAACACATCAGCAAATGTTCTCCTGTCAATAGCCAGGATGCAGCGCAGCTACTACAGCTACCAAAGAGGAAGAACGATGTGAAGCTTTTTCAGAAGTACTAAGATCAATGTCGAAGCCCTAGTCCTGCCGAAGTTAGCATTAGCTTATATATCGGCTAGCTAGCTAGATATCAGCTAGCAGTACAACATTCAACGATGGAGAAAGGTAAATCTGGCCAATCCAAATTTTAGCAATTTAGAAAGAATTGATCTGGTAATTGGGGCTGACATATTCCCACAAAAATTGGAGAAAGGAGTTCGGCATGATGCAGCGATCGTGGAGTAGAACACAAAGTTGGGCTGGATTCTTTCGGGAACTATACCAAACTATACCAGCCGGTAGCTCCTCACCTTGGAGGAAGAATGGAAGGAGATCCTCAAGACTCACCACAAAGTGATGCTGCTCAACAACAAAGACAGCCGCCTGTAAAGAAAGTTATAGCTACCAAGGTTACCGGTACTGTTAAATGGTTCAATGTCAAAAGCGGCTATGGTTTTATTAATCGGGACAACACTAAAGATGATGTGTTTGTGCATCAGAGTGCTTTAATCAAAAATAATCCCAAAAAAAGGGTACGCTCCGTTGGCGATGGCGAAATTGTCGAATTCGATGTTGTCTTCGGCGAAAAGGGCAATGAGGCTGCAAATGTAACCGGCCTCTTCGGCAAACCTGTACATAGTAGCCAATTTGCTGCCGATAAACAGCGTCGTAATAGCAATATACTATGGCAATGGTCAAGGCCAATGTGGACAAGGAGGTCCCCGACGCAACAGTCGTTCACGTAGTCCAAATAATAAAAAAACCCAACAACGGCGGAGGGCAACACAATCAACAACAACATAACGTTAACCAATTTAAACAATACCACCATCGCAAGCAGCGCATAAATCATATGGCTAAATAATTTCAACACTTTGTAACAACAACAAATGGTGGCTGGAAAACAGCATAACATCTAAAAATCTATCAAAGTAAATATCTTTCAAAAATATATCAATTCAAAATCTACCACAAAACTTATATTTATATACATCAACCAAGAACCATACACACGTATACAAGAAAACTGCAACAAAAACAAACAACAACTAAGAAACCAACTAGAGAAGGTCGTGGATAACCAAAATAAGGTAACATCGAATTAAGAGGCTTGGCGTTCCATTATTGATCAGGCCACTTAGCATTTATATTAGTTTTAACATTATCATTTATTATTATTTTATAATAATATTTTTAAGGACAATTATGAAGAAAAAACGGATCCCAGCTATTCAGTACCCAATGGTGCCGATAAAACAGAAGCGATTTAACATTTATAAACAACACTTCTCAAACAATGACCAATGTCTCATTTTATTCATAATTTATGTGGATTTTCGTGGAAGTTATAAAAATTAATTAATTTTATAATTATTATAATTAATAGTCAAAAGCTTATTCATTCCTAAAACTGTAAATCATTTTTAAGAAAAAAAGTCAAAAAGCTATAGCCCTGATATGCATACACACATTAATAGAACAGTTTTAATTTCCCATATTTGAATAGGAATTGTAATGAATCAGACAAATACAACTGAGATTATTTTTAGATTTGTTATCCTATTGGAAATTATGTTACGTTAGAATCCTTTATGAAGGGTGGGTTGATAATAACGTTCAAATGCTGTATTTACCATTCATTGGAAGGGTGGGACACGCACAAAAGGTTCTTGTCTATGATTATCATTGTGATGCTACATTCATGATAATTCATCAATTTTTTCATAGATGGCTTTGGTTGTTATGTCATACAGCCATATTTTCAAAACCTAAATGCAAACACCAACCAATATTTTTGGAGATAACGATTAAGCCCCATAAAAAGTCTAATGGTGCCAAACCGCACGATATCGGTCAGTGATATCGCCACGACGATAGATTAAGCCATATTCGGTGGTGTTATGTGGCATGTGATACCGGTTTGTTGAAACCACATAATCTCCATGCCGTCTTCTTCAATAATAGGCAAAAAAGTCGGTTATAATTTTGTTTATCCATTCGGTCGGTTATAATTTTTGTTGAAGTATCCATTCCACGTATCAACGACGTTGTGAATGATAAGCTGGTTTCAGGTTTTACGTTAACTGGATTTTATATGGATGTAGGTGTAGACCTACGGCAAAACTTTCTGTAAGTGATGACGACTCCTCTTAAAACATCTCTTCTTAAAGTATGATATGTGGTAGAATCACAATTTTTGTAGTAGGTTTTGATAATTTTTATGCATTGTGAGATTGTTAAGCGATACATTTTGGGCAAAATTTATTAACCAATTTAATTTTGCAGACGTCGAATTCAAGTCCCATACTTTTGAGAACACGCTAATGACGAGTAGTCAAAAAAATTCTAAAAAATACATTTTTAAGAAAATCAACTTTTTAAATGTTCTTGTTTTTTGTTTAAATCCGCCCATATCCTGAGTCCTGGAAAACAAGATTTTTAAAATACTCGCCTGAAAAAATTTTCATTTCAAAAGAAACCAGTAAGGAAAGTAGTAAAGTTGGGCTGTTAACTTACGACAAATATTCTTCTCTCTTCAATGTATTATGTTTTCAAAATTTAAAGGCCGACTATATGATACCCTTCACCACTTTGGGTATATTCCCATTTTTTTAAATTCCAATAAAAACAATTGTTTATCAATAAATGAACCGACTAACATCAATTGTTTTGATTTGATCTTTTCTACAACCTATGCTAAATTTCACTGGGACAAATTTGGGTAAATCGATTTATAGCGCACTAGATACACACTATTCGATAACATCAATCAGACACCCGTTCGAAATATATATGGAAGCTATGTCTGCATCTGCACCCATTACAAAAAAAGCACAATCAATCTAGTCTCAATTGAATACGTTGAGCAAAATTTCGTGTCAATCGGAGGAGTTTGGTGCACCATTTACCTAAAAGCGGGCGAATATATATATGTGGCAGATATATCTAAATCTGAATTTTCATTACGCTATACAAATAAAGAAATGTAGAGACTTTGGTACAACTTTTACATAAAATCGGACGAGAATATGTATGTGAGCTATATCCAAATCTGAACCGATTTCCACGAAACTTCCACAGACATGACTCCAGACCCAATTCAAAACGCTGTGCCAAATTTCGTGCAAATCGAAAGATATATAGGGTCTTGAGTGCACTATTTACATTAAATCGGTCGAAAATATATATGGGAGCTATATCTAAATCTGAACCCATTTTCACGAAACTTCGCACACATCATTCTGGGTTTAATTCAGCACGCTGTGCAAATCGCAAGATATATGGGGACTTTAGTGCACCATTTACCTTAAATCGGACGAAAATATATATGAGAGCTATATCTAAATCTGAATCGATTTTCAGGAAACTTAGCAGACATTATTCTACACTCAATTCAGTACTATATGCCAAATTTCGTGCAAATCGAAAGATATATAGGGACTTTAGTGCACCATTTACCTTAAATCGGACGAAAATATATATGAGAGCTATATCTAAATCTGAATCGATTTTCAGGAAACTTAGCACACATTATTCTAGGCTTATTTCAGTAGGCTATACCAAATTTCGTGCAAATCGAAAGTTATTTAGGGACTTTGTTGCACCATTTACCTTAAATCGGACGAAAATATATATGGTAGCTATATCTAAATCTCAACCGATGCTTCCAAATTTCAATAGTGTTCGGCCTTGGGCCAAATGAATGAGCTGTACCAAATTTCATCCAAGGCTACTTTAATATATTTTTTAAAATAATCACTAAATTTGTTTCTTAGATCTTAGGCTTTTCCGGCAAAATATTTTTAAAAATTATCAACAACGCCTATCATGCATCCTGTACACATTTAAATATTAGAAAACATATTTAAAAAATTAAAAGTCTTTGTAAAAAATCCTAATGTATTTTTTAAACAACAGCATTTTGTAAAAAAATTATAAATTCCATGTTTGAGGATAAATTAAATAATCCTCGTTTATCAATAATCTCTCAAAGTTTTTTTTAATTCATTCTTATAAAGACTATTCAAAATTTATTTGTTTTTAATCCATCGAAAAATCCCTAAATGTATTTATATTCGGACCAACCGAACTTATCTCCATTTCTTTTCATTTGTTTCATTTAAGGGGACCCCCCCCACCAAAAAAAAATTTTGTTGATATAATTCGAATCTACAATAATTAAAAAATGTCCCTACAAATTTTCAAATGAAAATCTCAAGAACTCTTGAAGATATAGCCGATTTATTGTGTCAGCATCAAGTGACGGCTGAAGGGCTTCTCAAACTTTAAACGCGTTTTTCTCTAAACATTTTTTTTGCGAATCGCGGGCACGATAACTCAAAAACCAATAACCCAATCGATTTCAAATTTTTACACGTTTCTCTGTGAGTGTATAGCTATCGTATGAACTAGGATAAAGCCAATCGGTGAAGATCTTCCTTATTTTTTAACTTTGGTTTATACGAGAGCCAGACATGTACTCTTTCTAATACCATTGGAATTTTCGGATTCCGTTGTTCCAGTGAGGAGTTATCATGCCCGCCATCAAAATTAAGGACTTTTCTTTAATTACAAAAAACAACAACAAAAATTTTTTGTAAATTATTTTTCTTCTATTTTAAATCTTCAATTATATATGAGTAAAGTTACAAACCTTAACAAGCATTGGTATTGATTTACCAGCCCATTGAAAATCTTGAAAAATTAAAATCGAGAATGGGTGGGGTTCCCTTAATATGATATCCTGTAACGGATAAATTTTATTCAGAACAATAATTTACAAAAATATGACATCGTTTTGATGTATCATAAAATAAAAAGGGGCGGTTTATAAAGAAAACTTTGCTTACACAAGACTTTCAACGGGGGCAAATGAAATAAACACTTCTTTAAGAGGTGCATTTTTCATGTTCATAAATTTCTTTCGCTTTTATTCTTGGCTGAAGGACCATCAATTAATTTTGATGAGGGACATAACATTAACCAGACAACAAACTATACCCTTACACAGACAATGAGAAGAATACGGGGAAGATAACGTCAAATTAGAGCCCATTAACCCCCTTTCCGCAAAATACATGGACGTGCACAACGGTCTCTCAGAGAAGAATCTGTTGAGAATACCCGTCCCCTTCCGTATGTCGGTTTCTTATTTTTTTTCTTATAAATTTTGTGAATGCACTTTTTGTATATCTCATGGTTTGATGAATTTGCGTAACCCAAAAACATCATAAATTCAACCGTACTGCTGCTGCTGTTTTTGTTGTTGTTGTTGAATGGTTGCGCAAGTGCTGTAATTGCTGAGGGCAGGAAATGTAATGCAAATATTTGCTCAATGAAATTTAAGTACCTGAATTACTTACTTACAACGTTGTAAACAAGGCAATATGGAACCCCATATCCAAGAAAGAACAAAAATGCCACATTTGCCACCAGACAAGGGAAAAGTTCCTTGGCGAAAGGGTTGTCAGACAACAATGTTGAAAGGAAAAGAAAGGTATACGCTAAGCATACAAGAAGAACTGCCCCTTGTTCATGTGTGGTTTGCACACAGCGTAATCGAATCCTTTGAGGTACAAGACAAATAACCCGTGCGCTGAGATAATGAAATCGATGTTTTGTTGTTTATTTATTTTTTGTTTCTCAGTGCCTACCACAGAATGCTGCTGGCCACTGATCTTAGCCAGATCTGATATTTTG